TAAGTCAAGTAACACTTGGTATTGTGGTCTTGAACTATGTTAATGCACTGAGACATCTTAGGACTTATACCACTACTTTGACATTGCTCTTTCTCCTACAGAAACCAGGGATATTTAGTAGTATTCTTCTGATTCTGGGCGTTTTATCTCTGGGTTCTTTCTTCCACGTTTGGGAGAACCAAAGGCCTCAAAAGTGTCCACCTATGGTTTTGGGAGTAGATGGGTGGGTTTCAAAGAAGGGAATTTCAGCCATTAGCACAATCACTCACCTGTTCAGATTTATAGGTCATCATTTCTAAATTGGGTCTAACTTTAAATTTATAGAGTACTATGAGAGTGGATAGAAAACAAAAGACAAAATAAAATTTGCCAATGTATTGTTAAATATGCTGTGAAACATGGAAAGAAGTATGAGAAAAACCCATGAAAGTGCCCATTTGCACATGCTCAGTTCACATCCTACTGACAGCCTCAGTCCATAGTTTTAAGTAGAGGCCATGCTTGTAGTTTTGTTAACATCGGGCTTCTCTTTTTTTTTCCACAGTGTTTCCATTAGCAGGTTTTGCTCTGGTGTCTTTCTACTTCACTGTCCCCTTACCTTTTATATGGCATGCTTCTACTCACATCTTTTCTCTTTCCCGTCTTCCTAGACAATGTTAGGTGCCCTTTCTTGCATTATTCCCATAATGCCACAGGGACAACTATCACCACACCTAAAAGATAATGACCTATTTTCCTGTCTGTTCCTTTTATAGTCTGGGTTTTTTCAGATCAAGGCTCTGGCTTATTTATCTTTGTAGTCAACATACATGGTGCAGTATTTGGAGTTTATAACAGGCCTTCTTCAATATTTGTTTTGATACGAAAGATAAGGTTGAATACAGAAGGAGGTTAGAGTTGAGTTCTAGCCAAGCTTGACGTTGTGGAGAGACTTTTAAAGCAGGAGGATTGGCAGCTGTAGTCTAGCCTGTACTGTCCTGTCACTGGCTAGTGTGGGTCCTTGCTTTAATAGAAATGGAAATTAAAAGCTAAGCTGGTAGAGCAGAGGACTATAGAACATCTCCATGTAGAAATGGAAATTAAAAATGAAAGTACAAATATACAGGGAAAAAAACTAATTGGAAAGTTAAAGGCAAAATGGGATAAGACTGCAGTTTAGGTAGCTGGAGGGGGCACACTCTGATACAGGGGTTCAGACTGGCCCAGCTGCAAACGTGAGGTCAGCTTTTAAAGATTAACTGTGGGCTGGGGTCTGGGTGATCATTATTTCAGTCCTGGTGTCAAACCTCTGGGGTGAATCTTTTTGGCTAATTGATGGTTTCCTTTCGAGGTAAGGATTATTTGTCTATGGTGGTCTCAATCTGATGGGACTTCAACTTTCTTGGAATCCAGGTGATCATAGGTTCAGGATAATGGCTTGGAGACTTCTAGGCAAAGTTGAACATCCCTGGAAATTCTTCATCCTAGTGTCCTCAGTGAAGAGAGTGAGATTGTATACATTTTATTATTATTATTACTACTACTTTTTGTATCAGGGATTGAAGTTGGGTCCTTGCATCTGGGAGTCAGGTGCTGGAACCACTGAGTTAAATCCCGGGCTTGAGATTGTATACTTTCAAGATAACAAAGGATACAAAATGATCAAGCTTTGTTCTTAGCTACCCAAAGGGAATCTATAGGTTCAAGTGAAGAGTCATGATTCATAGTCAAAATGGTCCATAACTGTCCTGGAAGAAAACACGAATCATGTTTTTATTGAGTAGTAGGTAAGGGCCCAGAATTTTGCCTGTTTCCATCTCTGTGGTGGTCCATTGCTGTGGTCATGACTACATCAATCTCAAAGTGGATAATGGTGGAGATGTAGCTCACTGCAAGGGTCCTGGGTTTTATCCAAACTGGAAAATGAAATTCTAATTGTAACTTTTTGTGAAATGATTTTGAGCAAGTGGCTCAAGCTCCTTGAGCATGTTTCCTTATGGATAAAATGAAAGCAGCCCACCTGGAGATCTTATTAAAATGCAGATTTTTGGCTCAGTTATCCTATGGTATGTTCTGCTATTTTGCATTTTTAACAAGTTCCATGAACTACAAAGGACTAGTTAACATGTGATGGCTATTTCAGTTTTTACCTTCTGTGATTATAGTCATTGTTTTAAATTCTGAACAAAATAATGTCATAACTACTAAATGTCTCTCCATTTTATCAGAATGCTGATAACTGACAATTACCTTATGAAATTTTCAGTGTATGATAATGTCCCTACAATTGAAAATAATCTTATTGCTCCTAAAATTTTGACTTTGACAAGTTAAAAATATCAAATGTCTGGGAAAGCATTTGAGTTAGCACTTGCTTGTCATCTAAAATGCCAGAATGCTTGCTTATTGGAGAACATTTGCAGTAAGTAAAGTTACTCTTGAAGGCTTTATGCTAATGTGGAGCTGAGATAGACATGTGATCTCATGTCATAAATATAAATACAGGCAAGCTGTTGATGAGTTAATCATCAGAGGAGTTCCCAATCATTTCCTTCAGTTCTCCAGAAGGTAAGAATCAAATCTCTGTAAAGAGCATTAGTGATATATTATTGAATATGGAGTGCTGGGGTGGGTCTTGTTTGAAAATGTTGCTACTGTTTTCTTTTGACTTTTAGTTCCTCAAGAAATCATGACACTTGATTTGAGAGCAATGAAGCTTAGAAACTTTTAGCTGATCTTGATCCTATGTACAAATGTCTAAAAGTAATTGCACTACTTTTATGTGTAACTACAGAATAAATTTTATCCTTTACTCTCAGCTGCACCAAGAATATTAATCAGGCTTCACTATCCAAATAAGTTATATCTATCCCTGTGATGGACTCTGATCATTTATAAATGTTTTTACTGGCCAAGAGCTCTCAATCTCTGCTCTTCTTTCTATAGTTTATGCATCCTGCTCTGTTTTAACTTCAGTATTTTTTGTCTGAGAAAACTGAAATCTGTACCACAGAAATTGAGACCCTGACAAAGGTACAGCATGTAGCCTATAGTTGAGGTGGTTATGTTTTTAACCTCTCCTAAAATAAGACAGTTTATACTTCCAAAGTGACCTTTGTTTCATCTTCCTGCAACTGGTATGGGTCTGTTCCCCTAACCCAGTGGGGGCGAACTTATGGCATGTGTGCCACAGCCAGTATTTGTTATCAGTGAAAGCTCTGAAAGGTTTGCCATCACTGCCCTAAACCAGACCAGCTGAGGAAAGCACAGTAGAGGGGACTGGATATAAATGATGGTGATGAAAGCAAATAGCCTTTGAAATCCTTCACTAGAAGCCTGGCCCCTGTTCTCCCTGTAGTAGAGCCTTGCTGGCGGGTGGTGGATGTTAGGAATTTTCTGTGGTGCACACTGAACTTCTTATTGCCATCTTTTCATGGTGACCTTCTTATTGGAGGTGAATTCATGTTTTATTTAATATGGTGCTAATTTGGAACTCATTTTTTAAAGTAGTAATAATTTGTGTTGATCTCAAATTAAGAGTTTTGAAACAAACTGTTTACAGAAGGCATTTGCTGTGTTCCAATAGATTGTCCTTTGGGAAATGTTAACCAACACTGTTACCTGAGGTTCCTTGTGCCCCTCTTTCGAGTCTTAAATAGACTTGTTCCCCCTTCTGATTTAGTTTTGAATGTGGCTACCCATCTTTTAGGACAGTCAGTTCCACTTTTGGGGGTAGGGTAGTAGTGGGGGTTGAAACAAAGGCCTTCTCACTTAGCTGTGTCCCAGCCATCAGAGTCTCAGGTTGGGCTCAAAGTTGTATTCTTCCTGCCTCAGCCTCCCAGAGGACACCACACCTGGCCAAATCCACTTCTTTTGTTTTCTGGGTAAGAAGCCAGTATGCTAGCACAAGTTCACTTATCCTGTAGCATGTGGTTTCAGACATGCTTTGTGGCTTTACTGGATTTGTACATCAACCTGCCAACAATAACATGTTCAGATTTTCGTCTCTTAAGCAAAAATAGCTTTGAAGCTGGGCACAGCAGCATATATCTATAATCCTAGCAATTTGGGAGGCTGAAGTGGGAGGATTATGATTTCAAGGCTAGCTTGGGTAACATAGTGAGACTGCATCTCTAAATAAATAAACTGCTCTCAAAAAAGTTAACATGGAAAATCACTTCACTGCATTAATATATAGTAACAGCTAATACCATTTTAGGGTTTGTATGTTGCTAGTCCTTTCCTATCATTGTGTCTCCAGCCTTCCTACAAAAGAAAAGAGAATTATCAGAGGAAGCACTTTGTAAGAGAATTTATGTAATACCTGTGTTACAATTGCCACACTGTTCCTGCCCTGGCATTCAACTCTGCAGCAGGTTATAAAAATTATTGGATTCTTTCCAATTTTTTCTTTGTTTCATGTGCTTGCCTTTGTTGCTTTCATAGGACAGCTCATGCCTCTTACCTTGTGTTAAGGCTTCACAAGATTGTTCCTTATTGCTGGGGATTTAGCTCAGTGGCTGTGCACTTGCCTCAGAAGTATGAGGTCCTGAGTTCAATCCCTGGTATTCGGGGAGGGGGGAAGCAAAAAAAAAAAAAAAAAAAGATTATTCTTTATTGAAGATTATTCCCTACGCTCTATGTTCTCTTGAATGTGTATCAGACTCATGAGTTCCAGATCTTTCATATCCTCAAACATCATCAGGTTGAGCAATGTTTTGACTGACCCTGTAATAATTCTTACACAACTTCTGACCTTACTGTAGCAGATACCTTTGGATTATGTATGAAAGTAGTCATTGGTAATTGGAAACTATTCTAGGTCAGTACACTCACCAATTCACTGCCCAAACCACCTTGTGTCAAGTCCCAATCCATGTGCTTTTCTAGATGTAAATATGGCTCTGTGAAAATTGTTATTGTCAGCATTACTCCAAAAGACTGAGAGGTAAGATGGAAGAGAAGAATGACTACATCCTGAAGATAAGTTATAGAAAGTCTCCTCCAGGGTGTAGGATGTAGTTCAGTGGTAGAGGGAAACCTTAGCATGCCTGAAACCCTGGGTTCAACCTCTGCAACAGCAGTGTCCTCCAGGTATATATTTAAACATGATGATGTATTATATGAATTTGCTTAACATTATTTTTAAAAAATAGCCCAAAACTCAACTATTAATAATCTTTTTCTTCTCAGTTTTCAAAAAAAGACTTACAGCAAAATGAATAATCCAGCTATCAAGAGAATAGGAAATCACATTATCAAATCTCCTGAAGACAAGCGGGAATACCGTGGACTAGAGCTGGTGAATGGTATCAAAGTACTTCTCATCAGTGACCCCACCACGGATAAGTCATCAGCAGCACTTGATGTACACATAGGTACGATTTAAAATTGTAAATCGAACTTTGTTCAGTTTCATCGAGCTAATGTTTGTATTTATTAGAACTTTCTATATGAGTATGACCAAAGACCCAGTAGTAATCAGTTCATTGATAAAAAAATCATTTCATTGATTTTTAAATATCTTATTTTGTAATGGAACCATTACACATTTATTGGTAAACTGCAATCATATAAGTCACAATAATCATATTTACCAAAAGCATCTTGTTAGGTTCCCACCTAAGGTGATCTAGCAGCAGGGAAATTTATTCCCATCTTTACAGCAGCAGTTATATTTTTAACTTTTGGTACACTTGATGTCATATTTGCAGATCCTTGTGTTCACAGTTCTTCTGCATTTAATGCCACTTAAATTGGATTGCTTTTTACTTGTGTGTATACTTGGCAAGACAGTTTATTTTTTCATACCTTGCTTTTGGGAGGAGCTGTTGGGGACTAAACTCTTGTCTTGGATACACGGGGCACTACTCTGAGCTATATCCCCAGTCTTTTAGAATTTATTGTGAGACAGGTCTTGCTGAGTTGCTCAGGCTGGTCTCAAATTTGTGATCCTTCTTCCACAGCTTCCTAAGTAGCTAGGATGAAAGCATGTATCGCCATGCCAGGCTAGTAGGTTTTTTGTTTTTTTTTAATTTTGTTTAGCTCCATGACATTTTAGAATTGAGAAAATAAGGTAATACTGAACTGATAATGGTTGCCAACATATACAAATTGTTTTGCAAATACTGTTTTGCACTAGACCCTCGAAGCATATATGTGTATATATATGAGTAACTAAGGGAAGATAGGTAAGTCTTGTGCTTAAAGTTTCACAGCTACAGAGCTGCTAATCTCCAAGCCTATCCTCTTAGCACTATGCTATATGGTCTCTTGCAATAAAATAAAACCATAACACAAAGTTTCAGATCTTATAAAACAATGAATTCAGCTTTTTATTTCCCTCTTGTGTGAAGAAACTATTGTCCAGAGAGGTTAAGTAATCTACCAGTGTACTAACTCAGTAATGTCAACAATATGGGCTAGAATCCAGGTCTTCTGACCAGTCATTTATCTTTTAAACAATATAATTTCAGAGTAGCCTATGCTTAACTTTATCTGATTATGTGATGGTACTTGTAATACTAATAAGAATTTTAAATTGTCTGTAATTACTAGCTTTTGGCATAAAAAATAATTTATTATATATGTGTTTTCTCTTTCAGGTTCATTGTCAGATCCTCCAAATATTGCTGGTTTAAGTCATTTTTGTGAACATATGCTTTTTTTGGGAACAAAGAAATACCCTAAAGAAAATGAGTACAGCCAGTTTCTTAGTGAACATGCAGGAAGTTCAAATGCCTTCACTAGTGGAGAGCACACCAATTACTATTTTGATGTTTCTCATGAACACCTAGAAGGTGCCCTAGACAGGTAATGCTGAATACACTATAAATTATCCAACATTGTGCACTTAATCACACTAATAGAAATAATAATTATTTTTACAAAGATGGTTTCATTGCTTTATAGCTAAAAAAAATACATTTTAACCAATTTTTCCCCCTTATTTTATAAAAAAGAAAAAATAATGAGAAATGTTGTGTGTTTTTCTTTCTGGTAAAGAAATAAATGGCATGACTTTAACCAGCCTTCAGGCCCGCAAAATACTATATTGATTTATAAAATTCTCACTGGCCCTTTCCATTCTAATCGGTGTTGTAGCTAATGTACATGATGAAGAATAGTGATTGGTGTTGTGGATCATTTTTCAAACATACTTCCTCTTCCAGAATGTTAGACCTTACATGCTCCATTCTTCAGTTCCTCACTTAAGGAATAATGTTTTGACCTACTGTTTGAAATCTGAAGGTATTTTAGAAGTATTTTCTGGAGAAAGCTCCATTAGGCCAATTTAACTTCTTAGTCAATTTACTGTACAGCCAGCAATTTCCTTTTATCTTTTTTTGTGTTACTGGGGATTACATGCAGGAGTTGCATGCACTAGGCAAGTGCTCTACTACTGAGCTTTACTCCCAGCCCTTTTCATTTTTTAATTTGCGACTGCCTTTTGCTCCATTGACAGGCTGGTCTTGAACTTGAGTCCTTCTACTTCACTGTCTCAGGTAGCAAGGATATAGGCATGTGCCACTACGCCAGGCTACAGCCAATGATTTCTAATTTTGTGCTGTGTTAGTGATTTGATTTATTATGAGAAGTATAATTTCTCCCTGGTGAGTTGTTTTTGGTACTGGGGATCGAACTCGGGTCCTTGAGCGTGAGAGTCAGGCGGCAGAACCACTGAGCTAAATCCCCAGCCCTCAATGAGTTTTTATAGCTTTACAAATTTCGGTATTACCAAGGTGTAGTTTTGCAGCATTTGAAGTTTGACCTTTTGTTTTTTTAATAGTAAGCAAGGTTTTACATTTATAAAGATAGGAAAAGAAAAATATGTAAAGTGAGTTTGGGCCAAGTAAAAGTAGGAAAACAAGTACACTGTACAGGACTAGAGAGCAGGTTACTATAGAAAACACAATAGCCTAAAATTTTGACACTGTAATTTGTCATTGTCAGCTTTATTTGCTTATTTTTATTAATGATAGACATTATATTTAAAAATGAATAATTTTCATTTATTCCTTTTTTTTCTGTACTAGAGATAGTACCCAGGCCTAATGCATATTAAACAAATAAGCTATCGCTAACCTATATCCCCAGCCCTTGCATTTATTCTTTAGCACAATAATATTAACAGGAAAAGGCACGGGTTTATGATATGTGACTGGATCAAAGTAGTCTGTTTCCTACTTACTCTATGTTGTGTTTTAATCTTTAGGCTGCAACTTTGATGTGTAGTCATCTTTCATAAGTATTCCCAAGATTTCCATGAAGGAGTTCCATGGATCATACACTAAATTTCATTTTTTTTGCAAGTGCTGGAGCAAACTTTCTGTATAACAAATCTCTGTATGATGGAGTATGTCTGCTATATAGCTAAGAGTAAAAATTCACTTGTATAAGAGCATCTTTTAAAAAATTGATTATTTTGTGTGATAGACATGATTATTTGCACCCATGCTGCTTTGGTCCGTAGCTGTTAGATTAGATATTCTTCCTAACCTTGATGTACTGAAGTAGGTAAAAGAGGTTACATGTGTATAAATGTCTCTTTTCATACATCTTTGATTATAAACCCCAGGTAGATGGAGTTTCCCTTTGAATTGGCATGTATAAAGTAGTTAGCACAGTATCATATTCATTATTCACTTATGATAGATGTTAAGTAATGACAATAGCCTCTTTTGACAGCTGGGCTGAGTTACGGTAACTGAGATGTTTATAGACCCAACATTCTCCTGGGGCCACTGAACAATAGTCCTGTTCAAACCTCCTGCTATTTTCTTCATCTGAATTCTGGATCTTGTTCTTATACGATAGGAGCTAATGTTTCTTTAAGAAGAATTGCTTCATGAAATCATGACGCAAATTTTTACCTAATATAGAATTAATTTATCAACTATGGGTATTTTAAACTTTATTATTGTTAAAGAACAGCCTCAACACAAGTATAGTGATTAATTTTGTTAGAATTGCATATTATGCTATTTATTTAATCACTGCTTATTAAAAATTCATAGACTGTATCTTAATGTTTCATAATCATAGCTAGGTCAAACTTTTGTCATAGCTCAGGTGTTTCAGTGTAGTTTGTTTGAATTTCTCCAAGGAGGACAAATAAAACAAAAAACAAACAAACCAGCCTGATAGTGCATTCCTGTAATCCTAGTCTGGGAGGCTGAGAGTGGAGGATCATGAGTTCAAGTCTAGCCTGGGCAGTTTAGTGAGACTGTCTCAAAAATAAAAAATTAGGAAAACAACAACAACAACAAAAGGGCTTGGAGTGTGGCTCAGTGCAAAGTGCAAAGTTCCTGGGTTCAGTCCCTAGCACTGCATAAAAAAAGACAAGAAAATGCAAATCATGTCTATTTAAAAGTACATTACTTAATTTATGCCTCCTGAGGTGCCTGAGTCTTAGTGAAATTGCACCCAAAACTGTAAAATTAAAATTATTGGACTTAGAACTATTTTTTCTTTCCCCCCCTTCAGATAATTAACTACATAAAACAAGATTTTTAATAGACACTGCAAATCTTTTTTGGTAGTGGAAGGTTACTGAGAATTAAACTCAGGGCTTCTGTAGTGAACAATATTCCCAGCCTTTTTTAATTTTCAGTTTTGAGACAGGGTCTCACTGTTACCCAGGCTGGGTTGGTTTGATCTTGCAGTCCTCCTGTCTCAGTCTCCCAAAGTGCTAGAACTACAAGCATGTGCCACTGATAATCTTAAATGACTGCTACCATCTCTATAAGTCTGCCTTGACCTTTTGGTGTTATTTGTTTATGTTTTCCACCACTTATTTAACATCTCCGGTATAGATCAGCTCCTCTGACTTTATATATGTCCAGTGTTACATTTTTCTTCTGTTACCTAGAACTTAGTTTATTTTTTTTTCTTAGTAGCAAAAGTAGTTTCCTCTGATCTTATAGAATTCATATTTTGTATTTAATAGGATTCAAAACTTTTTTTTAAAGACTGGTCTTTTCTGGTAACAGTTTTCAGGTTGCTAATTATGCTTCATACCCTTAGGTTTGCGCAGTTTTTCCTGTGCCCCTTGTTTGATGAGAGTTGCAAAGACAGAGAAGTGAATGCAGTGGATTCAGAACATGAAAAGAATGTGATGAATGATGCCTGGAGACTCTTTCAGTTGGAGAAAGCTACAGGGAATCCCAAGCACCCTTTCAGCAAATTTGGGACAGGTTTGTCAACAGCAGCTTTCAAACATTACGTGTCCTTGACCTCATTTAAACTCTTGGCCTCTTTGCACAGTACTTTATTTTACAGTCTAGAATAGAAGATTTCAGATTTTCTCATTCAAATAGGTGTCTAGATATTTAGAAGTTGGAAGAGCAGTTAGAGTTGTGAATAGATACTAACCAGCATTTCAAGGGGAGAAGATAATAGATTATTTTATTCTGAGACTACCTTCCAAGTGGAAGTGCCTTTTTAAGGTTCATTTCAAGGCTTTTCTAATCCTCCTACCAAAATTGCTTATCCTGTACTTATCCAGATGTGTAGCATCTATGGTGGGAAACAGAACATTAGAACACACACGGGGCCTCTGCTCTTCGCTGGAAATAAAGAGGTAGGGATTACAGGGAGTAGAATAAAATAAATATTGAGGTTCTTGATTTTATAATTGTACCCTTTTTCTTTATTCAATTTTTAATTAGAAAGTACATGTTTATGAATTTCAACAATACAAAAGTATTTAAGGGCTGGGGATTTAGTTCAGTGGTCCTGTCGCCTGGTTCACAAGTGCAAGGACCCGAGTTTGATCCCCGGTACCAAAAAAAAAAAA